ATCAGCCCAACTCTGTCCCAGTTTTGAAAGAGAATCTCCCGGGTACCTTCCAACCCTCTTTCCTTACCACCAAGAATCTCGAGAGGAATTTTGCCTCTCTGGTGTTTTAAGTTACTCCTCCCCATGCCACAAAAACCTTATGCACTTGCAGACAGCCATGCCTACTCCCGGTTTCATACCCAGGCCCAGGGCTGTGGCAGCTGGCTTCCCTAGCAACAGGTCAGCAAGAGAAGCTTTCGCTAATTTAGCAATCGGTATGGCATAAAATAAGCAAATTAATGTGGACAAGAAAGGCCTTGCCCTTCAAAAATGAAAGGATTATGCGAACAAAGAAAAATTGATACTAGGAAACGAGAATGCACTTAGAAATTTTGAATGTATTGAATGCAGTATCATATCTGCTAAGCAAAGAATGGTCCAATGTTCACAAAAGCCACTAGCAGCATTATTAACTGTTGTTGGAACTAAAATTTGCATTGGAAGCTTAATATCGTATTGTGGTTTTTTGACATTGGCTGACGCTTGGAGCAGTTTGCAACACAAACTGGGTATGATTTCTTTAAGCTGGAAACAACACTGGTAAAAAAACTTTTGGATCAACGCTATAGCATATAATTGGAAATGATATTGATTGATCGCCTTTCAATCCAGACTTTATTCTTGTGATGTTGTTTGGGTCATACCGTTTTAAAAATAGAGCCTCAAATTCTATAAGTAATTTAAATAACATGTACACATGGGATTAAAACAAAATTTTTAATTTTAATATGATTATTGGACTTAATTTTCGATTTTTTGCCCCTGTAATTATAGGCGGAGGATTTATAAACCCTTTCTATTAAAACTCATTTGTTTGTTAAGTAATTAGAATTGATTTGATTCATTTACTTCTCTAATATTTTGAATTGATATAATATTATTTTTTGTGATGTTGTTTGGGTCATACTGTATCTGGCGTATAATAATGCTGTTGCGAAAGTGCAATAGTATTTCTAAACATTTGATCCCGGAATATAGTAGTTTTACTGTACCACTCACTAATAAAAAGAAAAGAAAGTGCATTCTTATACCTCTTGTATTGGTAGAAGATGTGTTTACTCACACAAAAAAGAATCATCTAAAATTTTACATCGCGATTAATAAAAATGTTAGCGCCCAAATAACGATATCTATTAATTGAAATGCATTAACGAAAGTATGCACCATCTGTTCAAAAAGTCCGGAGACTAGGTTAATAAAAACTAAAGAAAAGTTAAGATGAGAGTTTTAATGCGTCAGATGTTAATCCACTTAAATGCAAGCGCAGAACATTCATACAACTATATGAAACTGTCAGAAAAGTCCTTGTTTGGGGTGATATTTCATTCGCGTGTCACTGTAGCTTAAATGTCGGTTACGTCGTGATAGTGTTCACTTACACGTGAAGTTTGATTTTCAAGGATAAAACAAAAGTCACTCCATGCCAAATCGGCTGAATAAGGAGGGTGAATCTGGCACATGTTTTTTTCACTAGAAATTGCTCCAGTACTCCAGCCTCTGAGTGGACAAATAATAGTGCAGAAGCAACAGGGAGAAATCCTTCTCTTTCCTTCGTTCTGGACGAACTCGCTGAATCCTCTTGAAAATCTGTCTGGGAACTTTTCGGACAGACGGTGTAAATCATTATTCTTATAAACTTATCAAGCGCTTAACGCTTTCTTATTATAAGTGATGTAAAATTGTAGATGAATTTTGGAAAAAGAATTATTTTATGTGTTATATCCATGAAACTGTAACACAAATTCTTGTTCTTCTTTCAATTCATTAATTACTTTATGAATTTGAAATAAAAGCATATTTTATAAAAACTTTTATTTATTTATTTTTTATTTTAACTGCAACTTACCCTTAAGCTGATTACTGATTAGATAAGTTTTTTCTTCAGGAAGTGTTCGTCGCTTTCTTTCGTTGTTTCAAGAATGCACCCTCGCTCTTCTCTTAGTGAAATGAGAGCCTTTTTCGAAAGTTAAAGTTGAAATTAGAGATGTTGTGTATTTCCTGGAATATAACCGGATAGATAATAAAAGTGTTAATTGCTAATGATTTAATGCTAACAGTTGTGTTTGTTTTCATGTATTTGATCACCTGCTAGCAACTTGTGTTTTAAATGAAACTAAATTATTAATACTAGCGGCTGCATTTGTTTGGCATCTAAGAGATTGTGTTAGACATTATCTTAAATTAGACTATAAATTGTAGTTTAAATATACATTCAGTAATTTTTTATTTAATTATTTGTAAATTATTTACTGTTTTACTGACAATAACTTGCATTGACACATGCTTAAGCCTGGAAACCTGACATTTAGAAAATGCAATTCAAGGCTACACCTTGACCACTTATCACATAATCGTTGCTCGTGGAAATTTCTAGAATATTTGTTTCTCAGAGCAAGAAAATTATGCCCTTTCCCTAACTTAGCTCGCCTTCCTAAGGTAAAAGTAGTAGTAAAAATCCTGATTCACCCTACACAGAGGCTTGAAATTATATTTCTCATGTATCATTGCAAATAAAATGAAGAAAAATGTGCGAGTTTTAAAATTAAAGCATGAAAATTTCTCTTTTAGTGCGTAGAAGTAATATGTCTGAGTTCTATAAAGTGAGATTCCATGATTATACTTTCATGAGAGTATAAAAGATTTAAAAGATAGAAAGGCGGGATAAAAAAGTTTAAATCTCGTATCTGTAGTTATATTCAGCATTGCATTTTCTGTTTTTGTTTTGCGTGTGGATGTAGAGGTTTTTTTTTATTCGAGCAGTTTTATCAGTAAAGAATAGCAGAGTAAGGTTGCGCAAGTCGTACCACAGCTAAGTCGTACCTTTTAAATATTAGGCTTAATATCACGCTAACTGCGCCTCTTCCGGCAAAATAAGTTACTCCTCAGTCAACCTATTGTTTCACATCGTGTTCGTCTCCTTGTAATATTTTTGAGGAAGAGCGCGAAGTGAATAGGATTCAGGACCTAAAATACAAAGGATAGATACACGATTTACGGGCTGGAGTTGACAAGAAAAGGAAAAAAATATCTTTGTGATCATTATTGCGATTAATTGTATAAATAAATTAATTGAGAAAAAGAATTTTTAGTATAATTGTCCACTTTTAAACGTAGTACAACTTAAGGTACAGGTGGTACGATTGATAATACTGGTTGTCTAAGTCATATAAAGTTCGTATTCATAAATTTGATTAATTTTACCCAAGAGAGTAGACAGTTTGGACTACATAGGATATTATCACCACACATAAATTTTACTTTTTTCATAGATCCTACGATTTATGCCTACTTTTTCTCAGGGTTACGACTTACGCAACCTTACAGACTTCACTGAATAAATAAAACTTGATTAATTTCGGTTACTAAATGTCGTAATAGAACAGTTTCATGTTTTTCCATTATTCTCCCTTAAATTATAATCGAAGATAATTATAATAAATTTTCTTAACTTCTATTACAATGTCTGTTTACAATTAATAGAAGTAATAACTTTACATATAATAAATAATACAAGTAGAACCTTTGCACGTGATCTTATAAATAAAATTTGAAAATAAGCTTTATGCAAAAACTTGACCATAAAATTCCATTAAATAATAAATGAAGCCAATACAGAAGAAAAAAATCCATCCTTTTATCCATAAATGCATTTTGAAATCTTGGACATTTTCGGAATAATTTAACTCATTTTAATTAGGTATTTTATACGCATTCCCATACTAATATACTATTTATGTATAAGGGAAAATAAATATGTGTTTATCTACCAATAACGGGTATTTTCTTTAATATTGTTTCTTAAGTTATCTTCTGAAACATCTAAAATAATGTATTTCTGCATTTCCATTCGATTTAAACCTTACCCAATTCATGTGGACTAAATAAGGTTTGAGTCGAAGTACTATTTAATCGCATATTATGAATTACTATTAAAAGCTTCAGTTAGATAAAACACCAGGCCTTTTTGCTCTTCTATAAAGGCACGCGTTTAGGTTATTATTCCAGAAACGTTTTCAGAATCAACAAAAAGAGATTACCCAGAAATTCTAGACTTTTCCCGTCTAGCACAGACGTAACAGCAAATTCACGTGCCACTACAGAACTGAAATGCCTGCAGTATGATTAGTGGAAAGATGAGATTGTGAAAGTACTCTTTGTGCAAAATATGGATTGATGACTACTTCCTTTCACCTTTATGATTTAGTTTCGGCTCACCAGTAGCCGAGTGAATAAGACCGTAATTCGATCCGGGTCGGATTCTCATTGCAAAGGCTGGTTTCACAAGCGTTTTCGTGTTGTTACCCGTGAGGAATGTGAATAAGAGATTAAGTTTCCTTTAGAAAATCTCATACGAAGACATTCCCTCTTTAAGCATTATCTCCTTCCTGTACTTTGCCATAATCAACTAAACAGATAATGACTTTATCTCTTTGTGTGCTTACCGATGAAACAAGAAACAAAGAGTTCGTGTTAGCGCAGGGTCAAATTTAAACAAATTTGAAAACTACTGCTAGTTTCATACTTCAGTACCCGATTTCAAAGATTAAAGTAACAGTATAAATAATGCAACTTTGTCAATAATAGTAACTTTTACTTATGATATGATTTAGTATACAATTACTTCGCTGAAAGAATTCAAAAATTTGAATGCCCTAACATCTTTCTCACTGCAGTTTTAAATATGCTAAAGTCTTTTCCAGAATTTTGAATATCCTGATATCTTCTTCCTAGCTCTAATTTAGTACATTTTACAAAAGTTAAATTTTTTTCTCTTCATTTCAAAATAAAACTTCTTATTCTAGAAATGGAAAGAGCTTAATTTTTTTAAAGTGATAAAAAGACTTGACATTAAGCAAATTATGTTATTTAAATTGTGGGTTACCTTCTTTCCCCTTTCTCATTATCATCATTATCTTCTTCCCCCCCCCCACAGAAATTCATCCTTTCTTCTTTTTTTTTAGAGCAAGAAGAACTCTTATGAAGACGTCGAAAGATGCGGTGCGAATTCTTCCCACATCAAACCTAAGGTAAGCTATTTTTGTTCCTCAGGGTGAAAGATATTAACGTTATCCTTTGTATCTTCTGATTATGCTTGAATTAAAAAAAAATAGGAAAATAATTTCAAGCCTTTCACTAATACAACTTTTTAGCAACAAGTACTGAAAATTTTCCCATGATTTCAATTTTAAAATCATAAACTGCTGAAACGATCTACTTAATTACCTATTACCTGCTGACTATAAACTATCTCACTCATTCACTTGCTTGAAAAAAAAAGTACTGAGTACAGTAAGCTAGATAAATTTGTGTCCTTCCTTTTTTTTCCAGTTATTATTTATGTAAACGAATTTGAGAGCTCCAGATATCTATTACTATTTTTGTTCATAGCAAAGTTTTATTAACAATTCAGAGGTTTAAATATAACTCTATAGTATATAATTAAGTAAGTGCTTTGCACTTATGTAAAACATTAAATCTTCACAGATCTAAACATATCGAGAGCAATGAGTTTCAAAATACTTAGAAGCCATACTTAAAATTTCATAATTTACATTTTAAACTTATTTGTCGTTTATATGAATAATCCAGCTTATAAATAAAATTATACATGAAAGGATCATTACCTCACATGTATATGTAAAGTGTCAGAAGGACTAATGTTTTTAGCTGTAAAACTAGTAGTTGGCTCATTAGCGATGAGTTCGAACGAGATATAAAGCATTTTCTTTTGAAAAGTTCGCACTCAAATTTTTCAGTTTTGACCCCCAGTGCATTAGTGGCACTAATAAACAGAGGATATCTCATTTTGCTTCCCTTAAATTATCATCTAGTGGTCGAGAGGTTAAAATAGTTAAACGTTCGGAGAGCATAAGCAGCGGCTGAGCGGTAAAGACGCTGAATACTGATAGTTCGACTGTGTTCGATTTCAGACGAACAGGCTAGCTGCATGAGCGTTTCATGGTTTTCCCCATGTGTAAAGTGGATACGGAACAGTTTCTCTTAGAAAATGCACCACGATGGCATCCTTCTCTTCAGGCATGTAGCCCTAGTGTGTTTTGTCATAATTAGATAAGCACAACGAATTGGCCCAACGAATCGAGCTTTTTTCAGGCCCATGCGAAAGGATTGGTTCTAGTGGTTGGTTGATTAGCTTTAGTGGTTTCCCCGTGTATAGCCGTTTCTCTTAAAATGTCCTCCATGAAGGCATCTCTCCCCTTAAGCAGATAGCACTCGGGTATTTTTCTGTATTCAAATAAGCTGATCTAAACTATCATGTCGTGGAACAAAACTGAAACGAATTTTTTTTTTTTACTTTAATTTATGTGACCGATATCTACTGTTACAAATTTAAAGCTGATAGACAAAAGGCAATAAGAATTTAGTTAAAACAGCGACATTAATCAAAGTTCTTGTGTATGGCAAGAAAAATGTTGGATTGATTAAAGAATACTTTTTTTAGAGTTTGGGGGGTGGGTTGTTTTGCATTATCGTCAATAAAGGAAAATATAAACTTTTAGTATCCACTTACTAGAACTTAGAACTGGCATTTCCTTGCCAGCTATTTTCATTGCTTCTTGTGTGAAATCGTAAGTGTTACCTTACATTGTGACTCTTACATTAAAGAGGCAAATTTGGTAGCGCTTGAAAAACTCAGCGGTGCTAAAAATAAAAGAGCATTCCAACTATTTCTTTTTACTAAACTACTTGAAAGTTCTATGAATATATCAAAAATTATCTAGTGTTAGAAGAAATGTATGTGATAGTTTCTTCATCTTTTTTAATGCACTTAGTTCAAAAGTCTTTGTAGATGCGCTGTGTACTTAAATATTAACTTATCGATGTTAAGTTGAAGTATAACCACGTAATATTTTTCTTTTGAAGCATCATTTAGTATAGACTTTGCGACGATGTAAACAAACTCATGTTTGATTATTATTGGCAAATTCTGAAAATTCTGTATGTGTATGTATATCCAGAAGCAGTAGTAAGCACAACTCACTTTCCGCAGTCAAATTTCATACCATACCAATCATCTTTATTTGATACATCCACGATGGTCTCCTTAAAAGTGCCGTTTGACGCGCTGAGCGGATAAAGGGAAGAAAGGAGAGGAGGGGAAAAAATCGACATTCCTTCGTCTACAAGACTTTTGCAGCGGTAGGATTTAATGTATTCGAGGTGGAGAGAACAAGAAGACGTCAAGGGCATTAAAATTTGATGACGAGAAATTATGTCTGTTTTCTGGATAAGGTGGGGCTCGTAGTTAATGGCTTGGATTTGTCGCGCTCCGAAGATCGGGAATTAATGGTCCCGAGACACGGGAATAGCAGTTGATCATTTTTCCCTGCGGACCCATACCTCATTCAGTCCACTTACACAAAGGAGCAAAAAGGATACGAGTAAATTAGGATGAGAGGGAGAGGTCTATTATATACATATACATTCAAGCTTGCGCATCTTTTGTCGATGAATATATATATACACGCATACTTATTTGTATATTAATTATCGGATAACTCTCAAACGCTTACAGCATATTTAAGTACTTGAAAAGAAATAGAAAAATTATATACCAAGCTGAATCCTTATGTCGTTCATTTATAAACCGTTAAGATTTATATAAGCATTTGAGAAGAAACACTTCCATTCTTGAAAGTATGGACTGTAAGTGACGCATCGAGATAAAAATATTAAAACCGTAATGACTTCCACATTTAAGGCATGTTTGTATGGAAACGCATGCTAGAAACTTTTAAACGTTTTCTTTCAGTCTTGATAGCCGATGTTTTAAAACACACACTGGTAAATGTACATGGTTCTGATGATCTAGCTCTAGGAGAAAGGTTTAAACATCTGTTAAGGCTAATCATTTGTCATTACTAGTCTTATTATTTTTTTTCCGGAGCTTGAATCCTTGGGAGGCCATTGCGGATTTATTTAGTTTCCTTCCTGACTTCGAAAAAAATTCTAATGACTCTACAAGTGGTGCCAGAACTAAAAGGGGGTGCGCGATATATTATCACCACCAGAATTTGGCGACTAAGTCTCTTATGTTCCCAGTCACCCTTCTTTCCGCATGCCTTCGTGGTATAACTGGAAGCACACTTGATGCGTATTCAGGAGGTACGAATTCGAATCCCGGCATTGCACATTTTCTACGTTTCTGCATCGATATTACCTAATGACTGTACAACTGTATTAACTTTTTATATTATTTCAATAAATGAAGAAATTATGATTAAATAAGTTGACAGTAAACTTAAGGAACACGTGATTCAAATCATCGAAATCCCAATGATTTGAGCCTTGTTAAGTTGCTAAATATGTACTTTATGTTGTTAATTATGTACATTAACCATTAAATACTAAATTACACACATTTTTGTATAATAATCGGGGAAGCGCGAAAATTATGATGAAAGAAGTAAGCCCGAAAGGGCGATGAAAATTATTCTTACAAGTAATTGTTTAAAAATTTTTTAATGAAGTCAATAAACTATTGATACACCAATCAATGCAGAATGATTTTGATCCTCGTTACACAGCAGATTTTTGAAAGTGGCTAAAGGCCTTAACTATAATCTTAAACATGTATTTCCCGTTAACAAATTTCACTCAACGATGTAGAGAATTTTATGAGCGCAGTTTCAGCACCGGGGATTGAAGGGCTTCGAAAGTACGAAATTTAAATTCGTATATCATATCGGTACAACAAAAATCCAAATTAGGAGAAGGTTTATGATGTTTTTATTCTATGCAAGAACTTTCATATTTTCACATGATACTTTCAGAGAGCTATTCTTGAATTAATCCTTTTTTCGGGGTTAGCTACAAAACTCTTATTTTGTGCCGTTTCACCCAACTCGAAACCGTTAATCGCTAAACGAGTTTTTGTTCTGAAATTGTTCCTAAAATTTTGGGAAACATTTTAGGGAAATGTTTAATTTAGGACTATATTTGTTGAAGTGATCTAAGTTTGTATTATTTAATATTTCTTAGCTTAATAAAGTATAATGAACATTTTCCCAGCTGGAGCTTTTGCTCTACGTGTATCATATAAAAAGTTAAATTTTATATTTTTAAAACTGTTCTAGCTTAACTGCTGTAGCGTTTCTCATAAAATTATTTACTTTTTATGAGAACAGTTTACCATTAGGCATAGAACGGTTTTGAATGTATAAAATTTAATTTTTGTACAGCCCGCGTTCAGCAAACAGTGCAGAGAGGAAATGGTTCATTGTACTTTAATAAATTAATTGAAAAAAATAGAAAGGAGGGGATTCCGTAATTTTGCATGCACAATTCACGAAGTCATTTGTCAGTTTGCTGACTTGGATTACTTTTCAACGAATATTTTTAGTCAGGACTAAATACTTTCTCAAATGTTTCCTTAATTTCACATCAAGTTGGTGATTAATGAAACCATATTGGAAATAAATAGCACTGGTTGTTAACTTCATAGCTGCGCTTGAAAAATATTATTAGCTAATATCTCTCTGATTACTGCGTTTGAAGTCTAATAAATTTTGTTAATTTTTAATTGTAATAAATAACACTGTATCCACAAAAGTCCTTATAAGGCCTTTATTTTTCCAATTGTTGGTAGCGGTCATCTACTTTCATTTAAAAAAATGTTTTATATGACACAAATATGCATGTTTCGACGTTTTCAAATTTAGAAAAATCAATTTTGTAAAGTTTACAAAATCTTTTTATACGTTCTTTCGGTCCCTATACTTACATTTAGGAAAATTGTATACTAAATATATTAAAAATATATATTTAGGAAAATATGTATATATATATAGTGTGTGTGTGTGTGACTATATTAAACGCAAAATGTGACTGGTCTACGACACAAATTGCAGAGTAAGTGTAAAAATTCACACGTTTTGGACTGAGAAACCAGAAATATGACTCCACCAAGTGGAAGAGCAGTTTGCTATAAGTGTAATTTCTTTAACTTTTCAAACGAAGAAATTTAATTACCTTATGTTTCGTTGGGAACCCTTATATATGGGATATTA